GTGTTTGGCAAGGGTTGCTTGGCCAGATGGACCTCTGGCTGGGTTATCAATGCGATGGAAATTTTCCCGTGAACTAATTTTATTGAGAAAAACTTTGGAAAGCAGTACCTGGCCCTCACCAGAAAAATCCGGTCATCTTTGGGCTATTTCCCGAACAGCGCTTTTCCTGGAGATCAATGAACAGTGCACAAAGCCTTGAGGGGTTCGCAGTATCAGACCATTCAAGTGACCGGCTCTACCACCATGATAGCATTCAGAATTGCCAATTACAGAGAAGAAATGGGAAAAAATGCCATGATCTGCCATTAAGCTGGGTTTGGTCATGATATACTCGATCCGTAGAACATTTTTATGCCGGGAATCACAAATCAGGACAGATACTAAGTTAAAGAAAAGTTTGAAAAATATAAATTATAAAAAATATACATTGAAAATAAGGCTCTTTCACACCCATTGAAAATTTGAAAGGTGTACAAAAATCCAAGTAAAAGGCAATAATATGTACTTTCAGAGTACGTCCATCGTTTCCTGTGACCTTCCGTCATAGATATGCAAACTTCCGAATTCCCGCAAAGTACCACCACTTCAGTTCCGAGCTGAGGACTTTTCGGCACGGATATTTTACTTCCGTCACCAGTTGGCAATCAGAAGCAAATTCGTTATCGCGGAAATTTCTCAAGGGAGAAATTCATAGGTTTCCCTACGACTTGAGTGCTCGTTATCGTGCGAAATAAACACATAAAATTCTCATTTCCCGTCGATGTGAAGTGACTTTTTTCATCAACCTGGTAGAGCAGTACTGGAGTTCATGTGGACGTCCCATCACAAGGAAATTTATGGAACGAATAAAACAGATAGTTCTCAGAAATTAAAGGCTTCCACCCAGACTGGCGCTCTGCATTCTGCCTTTCATGAAACTGATCTATTCTATTGACCTGTGTATCATGTACACTATTTCCTTTCGATGACATTCAATCACGAAAATGATTATGGGATAATGGTTTTCACGAAAAATTGCAAAAATTCAACTGCCACTGGACGACTCTGAATGGAAGTGGAATGCATGGCGCATCCCAAAGTATTGTATGGAATTGCACAATGCATAAACCCATGGATTGTGTAAGGAGAAGGTGCAATTTGTATGACATTGCAACCGATTGACATTGCAATGATGAAGAACCACGATGAATGGGTGCTAGAAGCCATTTTCAGCAAAAGAAATGGTAGAAGAATGACACACTCAATAAATACCGAAAAGACGTCAACATATAATTGCCACAATGAAAAAAAGGAAGAATGGAATATGTCATAATGTGTGTCTTTGATACTGCAATGCTCAAAAAATTTGCGTATCGCAAGATACGGGCATCCTTGAGGACTAAGCCTAGAAGAAGCAAAAAACTCGGAAGAAAATTGAAAAACTGCTCATACTCTTGTAGCCCTTCTTCCCCTTGCGAACTTAGGCCTTATATTTAAACAAAAGGAGACTTTCTCGAGCTTTTATCGCACTGCCCTCACAACGCCCCCTATCCTGCGATAGCTCCTGAAGTTTCTTTCAAATCAAAAACTATCGCAGCTTCCAAACTCACTTCTTGATAGTGAAGTGGGCTCAGCATGTGTGTATGCCATACCCAATGCACGTCCAACGGCGGTATCACATTCATGTCGGGATGAGCAGTCTGAAATGATTAGCTTGTAATCAGGTCCAATTTTCGCACACGACTCATTGGGTTCCTTCAGGGAAGAGCCAAAGTGAGCCAGAAAGGTAAGTAAGTTAAGCGACAGGAAACAATTGGAAGTTCATTGACAGATGGAATCAAAGTCCCAGAGCAGTTCGCTTTCCTTTAAACGCGTCCTCAAATGGCTGATATGGAGCCAACAAGCTGGAGTCAAAAGGTAATAAATGCCGTTGACGTTATATGGAATGCCCCCTAACAGATGAGCGTTTCTTCTTAGAGACATGTATGAAATGGCACCTTCGCGTGATGAGGTTCATGACGAGAGAGAGCGTCATTGCAACAAACACCACAAGCGAGACGGCACAAGAAATACGAGAATTCAAAAGGACACGAGTTTTGTCTTGCCGCCGTCGCTTGTGGTGGTTTGCGACCGCACGACAATCTCTCGTTTTTCGGAAATGGGAGTGAAATTTGACTTACCCCCCTGGTGGTGCCAAGTAATCAGTGTTCGTCAAACACGAACTCGTCTCTGCTCTCTTGTCGATACACAGTGTCTCTTCGCCGTAGCACACTCCGCAGAACGAAAAATTATAATGCACCTAATTTTAGGGTTTCTAGGGTTTCCTTCTCCTTTTTCTTCACGAGCGACCCTTTTCACACGTCAAACCTCGAAAAAAAAACCAAAAACCTCAACCTCTACTTTAATGGTCCACCGCAGTAAGCGCACCTAGTCGATCGTGGGGCCTTCAAAAAATTGGATTGAAGCCATTGGAAAAGACTTTTCTCAGGAACGCAGTGAGAGCCATCGTCCGCAAGCGAGCATTATCTTTTCATAAGTATGGAGGGAAACTTCCTGCCTTCATTAGGATAGCTGCTATGTAGTAATCGGGGAACGTAAGCCAATAATAGTAGCACAAATTACGCTAATTATAGGAAGGTTTCCTCGCTGAATGAGTCACGCTAGATTAATGCCTCGTCAAAGCCAAGCAGCTATGTTAAGCCACTGGACCACCGTTCAGCTTCCCTGGCTTTTGTTGAGCCCCTCTAATAGGGAACAGGTAGCAAATTGTTTCCCTTTCAACCAGAGAACGATGTCGCTGGCAGTCATCCCTCTTTTCATTTCGACTGAGGAGCAAAACCATTCTGTGAACAACCGGCCCCCACCCCCATGTGCCAGCTAGGCAGCGCCAGCAACGTAATAGAAAAATTAAATGAATAATAAAAATAAAATATTGAGTCCATTCAAATTCAAGCCCTTCAAGCCGACCACTCTCTATTCTTGGTCCTCGGTATTTTGGCTGTGAACAGCGCTTCGTAGTTAATCTGCAGCAATTGCAAATAACCCATCAATCACCTGGGACATGCCCAGTGAACGAGGGTAACCGGTGATGACGTCATGAACCAGGGCTGAAATCGGAGTAAAGGTTTCAATAAATCACCTGCATAGGCAGCCAGCAAGTCTCATATCTTCGGATTGCCTGGTTCACCACTTCTGGCTCATAGAGTAACGGTGCTTTCCGATCGATCATCCGAAGAAAATTCGCTTCACGCTGAAAAATCAATAAAATCAATTTTACACCTTGATTTTTTTGTAGTGGTTTTGTACATGAAGTCCTTTATATTGCCTTTGTTTTGTATTTTGCCTTACCCCATGATATAGCGTTTCGCGCTCATATTTATCACAGGTCAAGCCCTCTATGTGCTGTGCCACGAGACCGACATGAGACCCATTCAAAAACAGAGATATTTATGTCCTTTTTGGACTCCACATTTAATTTTTAGCCTTCTAAGTGAATTCTCGAGCATGTGATTGTATCTGTGGTAGCCAGCAGGACAAAAATGGTGCGCTAGGAAGGCCTGAACCGAGAATCGATAAGCTTGCCTAAATTCTCAAAAATTCTTGAGGTGGAAATAGAAAAAACTGCAATTTTCTCACTTTCAAGTTCATCGAAAGGCACCCAAAGTGAAAGTGGCAATTATTAGGGATACGGTGGGCGTTTTCGAGGCCTGGTGGGCAAATTCAATGAAAACGGAAAATCGTTGACTTAAAGGCACAACCCAGGCAGAGGTCGTGTGAACGCTTCCCTTCGGTCTGTAGTATAGACCCCTAGAGGACAATCACAAATGTGGCGTTCCCGTGCACGGAAACCAACCGACAAGAGCGCTTGGGCCTTGCAAAGTAAGCTGCTGAAGCTGCAGATTTTTTCTCTTATCAGGCTGTTGTCTGGCGCTCTCTCATCTGTAGCGCTCTCTCGCCTCATACTCTCCTCTCCGCGCTTAGTCTCTCATTCCCTTAGCACAGCCGATTAGGAAGGTGAGTGAGCCCTTAACCTAAGCGTTTTCGACGGATTTTTTCCCTTTTTTCTTTACTGCCGGCCCATTTCGCACCAATACATTCGCATTCGTGTGCAAGAGCCACACCAATGTGATCCGGGGCCCTCCTTTGAGGGTTCACTCGGACTATTTGAAAATAAGCACTAAAAGGCAAGTGAAAACTTGAGCACCTTTATTTTTCTTGATAGAACTTACGGCCTGTCGTACCTAAAAGGGTAACCAATTTTAAGAATGAGATGCGAATACTCAAGGTAGCTTCTGACACTGGAAAGTTTGCCTCAAATTCCTTCCACGGCATTTTTCCTACACACAATGACCAACAGCTGCTACCCGAACTCGCTAAGGTGATCGATTGGTGAGCGAGGACTCTCGACCAATAATAATATTTCTACCCCCTTCCCCCCCCAGAAAACAAGTTGTAAAGACAAACAAAATGACGGCGGTGCTTCTTCCGAGAGTATTGCGGGTTTGTCTCGCAAGAATAAAAAAAATAAGTGTCATGCACGTGGGGTGAAAAGCGTATTATCGGTGGAGTAGGGTTAGTTACGCGCGGTGAGGCTACCCGGGCTTCGCAGGCCAACGGCCCACCGCCACCGCCGGCACCATGAGACTCCTTCTAAAATCGCCACCAGTGTGTTGTCCGTCTAGAACCAAATCAGCCGCTCGTGTGCGTGATCCGAGATGAAGCTCTCCACACGTTACCCTGATCGACCGAGCGCACGTGAGGTTGTTCATGTCCATGGGAACAAAGCGCCGATCGCATATAACTGGAAAATCGGATTTTGAGATACCAAACGATTCGCAATTTTGACGGCTCTGACGAACGTGAAGCAATGTTGTCATCCAAGACCCTTGGTGCGAGCCGCCGCATATCCTTACTGCCTATTGATGGGATAGCCCCAGGTTCATTCCTCATCGCCGTGGTGACGGCTGTTCAGCGTATGGCGCCCAACCTTTTGCAGTGGGGACCTAATGCATCGACATAAAGCGACATCTCGACCAGGGTCTGCCCCGCGGGTCTAGGCGTGATCGCCGCGAGCTGACAAACGACCTTGTGTACGTTGGAAGCAGTCTACTTTACATTTCGACGCATAGCTTGAAGTACAATGATAAGTGGCACCACCCGGTGCTCTGGCTCTTGGCTTCCGTACCGCACTAAAAACTAATAGACGTCTCATGACTTTTGCAAACGATACGAAACTATTTTTAGCTGACTTAAAGGCAGGAATCAGGATCATATTGATGGTTCATGGCCACCCAGGATGTGAAAAGTAGGGGGGAATAGCATAGAGTTGGATCGCAAGAAAAAAGGAAAGAAAATCCTGAAATACACAGGAAATACGAGCATTTTGCTCTATGTGGAGAAGTTCAAAAGACAGGCAGGGAGATGAGAGATAATGTGAGCGCGGAGAGTGGTAGAGAAGTCCGAGAAGAGAGAGCATAGCAGATCAAGTAGCGACGCAGACAAGATATCGAACGGTGGGCGGATGTTGTTAATTTGGTGGAGTCTGTTAGAAGTCCATGGCGCCGTCCCGGCTCCTAAGGGAGGGCCCGGGTCTGAGCGCGGATTTGCCTTGCAGGCAGCGACTTACGATGGACAAGGAGCGGCATCCGTGCGCATATCACATAAAGAACGAAAGAATTACGTTGGCTACGCGACAAAGGCGTTTTTAGGGCCACTGGCGCCGCAATTGAAGCACCACCCCGTCTTCTTCCAAAAACCCTCTGAGAACCTATCGTAGTTGGCTGCCTTAGTTTCAAACGGCCCCATGAATTGTCTTCGCTTCTAAACCACTAGCTCGCTTCCAAACGGCTAATAGGCCACTGACCGCTCTAAAAATAGGGCAGGAGTGCCTGATAACATTCTCCTACGGATAAGTGACTTTACATGAAAGCCTCCCCTCTTGTGAACTTTACTTATCAGAAAAAAGCTGGAGGAGCCCATGCCCAGCATCTCCCCTTCCCTCCCCGCCTTACCCCCCCCCCTGCACTGGTGAGAAGGGCAACTTCATTTCCATTCATGCATATGTAATACCTCTCAACAAGCTCCTCCATAATGCCCACCTCTGCAAGCCGTTATCTTGCTTCAGCCGATCCGAATATTCTCGTACAACCACAGAGTGATGCTATAGGAAAAAGGATGGGAAAAAGTGGCCACAAAAGCGCTCAATCGGGAAAAAATGGCCACAAAACGCTCACACCTGTGGTGTCGAAGGGGCTGAACCCTGCTTTGGACGCCGAGCTTTCTTTCCTGGACAACAGTCACAATATCATAAAAATGGACGCCGACATGAGCAAATGCTGGCTTGAGAACGCTGCATAGGGTAGCTGTGCTCCCAGACGGGGACCACCCAGGAATTTTCTCCTTGAGGGCTCTTTTCGTGACTTCAAGATCTGTGGGCCGTGTTTGGATTTCTAAAAGAGGTGGCGGTGAAGGAATGAATCGTTTGAAAATGAAGAAAAGAAATGAGAGGAATATTTCAAAAAATGAAGGGGGTGAGTAGAATTTCCCGTTTCAGGAACTGTATATAGACCACTACGAATACGGTTTCTATCTTGGTTTTTCTGACGTGTTTGCGATTACGCGGAATTTCGGTTTTTTCGCCGTGTGGGACCAGAGCGATTTTGCTGGGGTCGCTGCCTCGTATCGAATCCGAGAATCAAAATAAAAAAATAATGAATAAATAATAATGAAAAAATTAAAATAATAATGAATAAATAATAAGAAATATGCAAAACTTGGATGCAACAATATGTTTTAAATGTTATTCTATTTGTTGAACTTGTCAGAAGTACACTTGTAAAAGTTCGATCAAAATGATGTGTAATGGCAATAAAAAGCCAAGTTTTAGTTGCTTTCGCTGCAGGGACCTCGAAATTATTTTTGACGCGGTGATTCCTCTAAAAACATATATCTTGCTACATGTATTAGGGGGGGGGGCAATAAAAAAAAGACATTTTGTCTCCACATTCAGATTGATTTGATCACACTCTGCTCAATTCAAACCGAATGGTTCCAACTTATTATTAAAGAGCACATTCCATTCTATAAGAAAATCTTCATAGTGGCCACCGTACGTGGACGGCATCAGAAGAATTTGCCCTGGAAACATGGTGCACTGGTCGAGCTCAATGGGGTCTTCGAAGGATCGTGTACCATAACGACCCTTTACTGGAAAGCTAGTTTCGAGGGGATTTGCATAGTGGGAGCTAATGCCTCTAGAAAACTATCCAACATTGAATCGATTCACGAAATTACGTAAGAGCTTCAGGCTGAAGCAGTTTACGGTAGACCTCCTCTTGAGGCCGATAGAGCGATCGCCTAGCGACCAACTATACAGTCGCCTGAGCATCGCCGATCTGAGACAGATGAACGGGTATAATTCTGAAGTACGGTGAGGGCAGCGAAGGAGGGCCTGGTCCCGTTGCTGAAGAGGGATATTTTAGATATTTCGGCTTGAGGAAATTCCTTAACGACGACGCATCCCTAAGAAAAGAAGAAAGATCGACAGCGCCACATTGCAAATAATTCTTTTTATTTTTGTCCTCCTCCCCTATACGCTGTACTTAGCCCCGCCTCTACTACTCTTTTACGTTCATACTAAAGATAAACAAAGAAAATGAGAAATTGAACTGGAACTGAAGAATTTGAATGAGTTTGAGAACCTTCGCTCAAGCAAGGAAGATATCAACGTTCGATCAATCACACTCGTTTATGGTCACGTTGTGATGTGATCTATAGAATAAGGCAAAAAATTAGAAAATAAGTTCGCATGCGCCAACAAAACAACCTTTTTGGGTGTGAAGCGTATGCGCTGAATGCTGTCGTCAACATGTCAAGGCCGATGTCAGACCTAGCGGATCGAGCGATTCGCTTAGCGTCTGCGGTCGCGTATGCGTAACCATCCAGTTCGAGGCAACTGCCGCGGACGCGAACGATGGACCTAAGGCGAATCGATCGATTCGCAACCGTCTGACAATCTGCCTAACCATAAAAAGGTTGGTGAAGCCGCCACTTTTTATAAGCCCCAACATGTCGATTGGGTTGCGATGCGAACTTTTTTGAATAATGTGAACTAATAACAGGAATATTTGCACAAAATCAAATGGGCTTTAGCTCAAATCAATAGACCTCAGTGTGAGTTTCAGACAGCTGCTCACTATCTCGCGACGGCGGGAAGCGCCCTTGCAAGGC